TTATTGGCTTTGAAATCTTTTAAAAGGAAACTGGTCCTCTTTCAGGTGCAGGTCTGAAAGAAAGGGCTAACCTAGGATTCAGGACAAGATTTCCTTTATAAAAATGGAATTATATTTGTTCTTGATCTGTTTAAAGGGAATCAAAGTCACGAGCAGAAAGGAAATACATCACAAAAGTTCAGATTACAACACTCAGGGTGATTGGAATCATTGTGGAGGCAAAGTAACATCTGAAGAAACTTCACCTTAGAAGATACTCCTTCTAAAAGTCTGGTACAAAGGTGGCCAGAAGCTCCAGATGCAGAGGCAGGTAACCTAATATTAGGGCTTCCCAGGTTGTGCTAGTGGTAAAGAACCCACCTGTCCATGCAGGAAACATGTGTTCAATCTCTGGGTCAGGAAGATCTCCTGGAGGAGAGCATAGCAACCCACTCCAATATTCTTTGCTGGAGAATCCCAGGGACAGAGGAGCCTGGCAGGTCAAGGTCCATAGGGTCACAAAGAGTCAGACACAACTGAAGTGACTTAGCATGCATGCAACCTAATATTATAAATCTGGAAAAAGAAAATGGATCTAGAGTTATCTCCTGAGATCTGACTTTTTAAAAAGATTTGAATGTAAAAATGTCCAGATAACCTTTTGTTTCATTCCCTAGATAACTCGACTCAGGTTTTTTATTGATTTAATTTTTAAACTAGTATTTAAATATAGCTGATTTACAATGTTGTGTTAGTTTCAAGTTTCAAATATTCAGGGTTGATTTTCTTTAGGATTGACAGGTTTGATCCCCTTACAGTCCAAAGGACTCTTAAGAATCTTCTCCAGCACCACAATTCAAAAGCATCAATTCTTTGGCACTCAGCCTTCTTTATGATCCAGCTCTCTTATACAGATACATACTATAAATATTGAGAGAGAATCTTTACTTTAGACTTCACCATGAAAGTTTCAAGAAAATAACTTTCATTGGGAAGCATACTTGAGGAATTTTCAGGCAGATATTTAAAAACAGTTCTTTATAGAAGATTTCTAAAGCATGCAGTATAAACACAGTAGTATAATGAGACAATTTGCAACTAAGTTCCTATGCTCAACAGTGACACACAGTGAGGTCAAACAAACTAAAATGTCAGAGTTTGGAGCTGAGACATTTTTATTGCATGGTCATGCAAGGAGATGAGGTGGCTTTGTTCTTAAAAGCCTCAAGCTCCCCCAGGATTCAGCAAATATCAGTCCTTATGTACTCTTGAACTGTGATGTTGGAGAAGACTCTTGAGAGTCCCTTGAACTGCAAGGAGATCTAACCAGTCAATCTCTAAAGGAAATCAATCTTGAACATTCATTGGAAGGACTGATGCTGAAGCTGAAGCTCCAATACTTTGGCCATCTGATGTGAAGGGCTGACTCATTAGAAAAGACCCTAATTCTAGGAAAGTTTGAAGGCAGGAGAAGAAGGGGATAACAGAGGATGAGATGATTGGATGGCATCACTGACGTGATGGACATGAGTTTGAGCAAGCTCTGGGAGTTGGTGATGGACAAGGGAAGCCTGGTGTGCTGCAAGTCCATGGTTGCAAAGAGTCAGACATGACTGAGCCACTGAACTGAACTGACTGATGTGCTCTGGGTCATCAAATAGTTAATGTCTTCCATTTGATTGAGGTGGGTAGGAGTTTACGTCTGCAAAAGAATTCAGAAAATTTGCATCAAATACTGTTATCTGGGTACTTCAGAAAGGAGATAAAGCAGAGGCTATAGAGGAAGACCTGCTACCCCACCTCCCCGGCCCATGGGATCCTCCTCAGTTACACAACCACCACCAACCAAAAGCAATCACATTTCTGATTACTTGAGAGCAAGTGCTCACATGTCCATAATCTCCTTTGGAAAAAGATAAAGGGGTGACTTCAAGAATTATAATGGAAAGTAATCCTACAAATTCCTGTGTTTAATGTTTGCCCTTTGTTTCACTGGCCATTGAACCAACACATTATATAATACATGACATGTCTATTTTCAAAAATGTAAATAAAGGAGAAATATATGTTGAAATAGTAAAGGAATGTTAAGCTTACAAAGAGTGGCAATAAAAAGAGAGAGAGGGAGAGAAGTGAGTAATGTTAGTTCCAGTATTCACTCACCTTTGGTCTTATCCCCTACAGTGATGATGTATACATTATACCCTTGCTCTTGAAAATAATTCTGTAGGCCAGCAACAGACTCTCAGGCTCTACCTCACCACTATTGAATCAGAATTTGCATTTTGACAAGATTCAAATATGATTCAGATGCAAATTCTATTTTTGAGAAATACTGTTTTAGATCACGAAGCGATGAAGTAATGCTGTGACTTACTTGCCAAAGAAGAAAAAAATAGAAACTCTCTAAAACAATACAGAACATGAAACAAGAATATATATGGAATCATCAGATTAACTGTGCCATATAAAGAAATTTCTATTAATTCTCTAACTATGTAATACATCAGTTACTTTATAAAGCTAGAAATCAAAATGAAAATAAATTTTAAGTGCTATTTCCTGTTTGGTGAGGAGGATGTCAGCAGAAATATGGGCAAAGATATTACAACTGGCTCTTCTCAGTTCTTTTTCCTGTTTATCTTATGCCTTCTAGTAACCCTATAAGATGTCACATGAACTAATATTAAAAGCAACAAATTATACTTTTATTTATTCTGCTTGAATGATGCTCATTAATAGTTTATGTTATATACAACTGTTATCAGATTTTGTGTCCAATTAATATTACATAAAATGATATTTTTGTGAAGAATATAGCTGAAGGAAGCAGATGTGTGGGTTCTTAAAATGCAGCTGTTATTAAAATTAAAGAATATAAGCAATATTTTGGAATAATTTCTCACATATTGTGTAACATAATTATGCAAGTATTTTGTCAGGAGATCTAAATTTTCTTAAATTTCTACTGCTTGGAGCTTTCAACAAAAAAACATGGGCGTAGATTTATAGGCAAGGATACAAAATATAAAAATGAGGCAACATTTTGTATAAATTTATGAGACACTGAAAAGTAAGAGAGCCTCATTTTTTTAATATACTAAAAAACTATAAATACATCTGTATTATCTTGACATATTTTGCCTAAAAGAAGATCATTTCATCTTTCACTGTAATATTTTTTAACTGAAGTTGAATCTAATTTTCAAATGCAAAAATCTCAGAAATGACTTTGGTTAACAAAAATGAGATATTTCATAAGACACATGTTGATGGAAAGCCCTATACCATATATGATTAATTTACAGTTAAAAGAGTTGAGGTACTATGCTCCTTCTTTCCTTTCCAAATGTTAGAAATTCTTCTTCTTCTCAAAAATTGCCGAACTTTCATAGAGCTTTTTGTGGTAAAAATCCCAACTTAGATACTTCTGAACAAAATCCTAAACAGACATTTTCCAAACAAGACATAGAATGTTTATCTAGGCTTATCCTTTATTATGGCTTTCCTGGTGGTTCAGACATTAAATTACCCACCTGCAATGCTGCAATGCAGGAGACCTAGGTCCCATCCCTGTGTTGGGAAGATCCCCTGGAGGAGGGAATGGCAACCCACTCCATTACTCTTACCTGGAGAATCCTCATGGGCAGAGGAGGCTGACAGACTACAGTCCATGGAGTTGCAAAGAGTCGGACATGACTGAGTAACTAAGTGCTTCCTTTACTAATTTTACTTTATTTTTATTTTTAATTAATTCATTTATTTTTGTTTTTATTTATTTATTTTTATTAGTTGGAGGCTAATTACTTCAAAATATTGTAGTGGTTTTTGTCATACATTGACATGGATCAGCCATGGATATACATGTATTCCAAGATAAAGACATTCTTCTCTGGAAATAAGTAAAACACAATGGACCATGCAAATATCTTCCCATCAAATACATAAAATTCAATATCATTTCCAAGTCAAATCTTTGCATAGAGCACAACAATAGAAATGCTGAATTTATGTTAATTTGTTATCATTGATATATTTTTAAATAGCTTTAAAATATTTAATACATGCTAGAATCAAATATTTTATGCAAAAGAACACTTTTCCTAAAAATATCATTGTCCACTTAAGTTGAAACACTAAGAAATTGGAACAGCTTTCTCCTTCAACTATATTTAAGATCTTGTTAATGTGATATTTTATCCTTAGACTATCATTTTGATTTCTAATCCATTAAAATTACCCTCTTCTTATCAGCTACTTTACATTTGAGAAATTTCATATTAAATGAAAATCTTGTTAAATCTCTTTTCCATAGAGAACAAATAATCCCTAAGTGCACCATTTAATGTTAAATCTGAAATCAGTGTACAATAAGTTTAAATACTGTTATGTCAATTCACATCTTGAGGGAAGTGTTCTCATCAGGCTGAAACAAATTCTTCAGCTAAGTGAAAAGCATTTATCTAAACAGAAATTTCATATCAAATATATATATAGAGAGATAGATATTTGAATATTCAAAATGTTCACATGACTGTCCCTCCTTCTCTACCAAAGATGACAACTTTCTCATCTTAGGTATGTTTTAGCAATTATGTTGACCTCACATTGTTCATGTTAAAAATCCTCGCTCAAATACATTGTACTTCCTTTTAGGCATACCCACGTGGCCCTTCTCATTGTGCTTGTGGTTCAGAAAATCAAGATTATCTTTTAGTAATATCTAAATCTAAAGAAAAGAGACTAATATTGTAAAACAGCCTGATTTTTCTAATGTAGTATTAAAAAGGGGGCTATGATTTGCCCTTTTATTTCTGTGTTTAACTTTTAAAATATATATCTGAAGTAGTTTTATTTCTGTTTACTCAAAATGGGTTAAATGTCAAACTAACAAATATTTTCTTTTTATGATTGGATAAAGATAAGGAGAAAGCACTTCCAGTAGGTGTCTTGAATAAATGAGACCTGTTACATTTCAAAGAGAATTTCACAGAATTTTAAATTTTATATTTTATTTTCAGATGTAAAATATTTAAAGGAAGAGGATGCAAATCGCAAGACATTCACTGTCAGCAGCACACTGGATTTCCGAGTGGACAGAAGTGATGATGGCGTGGCAGTCATCTGCAGAGTAGACCATGAATCTCTCAATGCCACCCCTCAGGTGGCCATGCAGGTGCTAGAAATACACTGTAAGTAAATGCTGCTCCATAACTCTCTATCGTGGGGGCAAATCTCCGCATCTACATTTAAAATTATTTTAAAATTACCTGGAAGTTACAGCAAGTGTGCAGCAAAATCTACAGCCAAATGAAGTAAAATCAACCTCCATAGTATTAACCACACTCAAAGGAAAGGAGTCCTTGCCCATTCTTGACAAAGTAGAAAAAGAAAGGAGATATCAAAAGGTTAACATTCCTAGTTATCTTCCCATTGTTGGCCAGGAAGATCAGGAATTTTGACAGTCAGTGTTAGGTGGAAATCTGAGAAAGCCTTGAACTTTCCAAATATAACATTATTATATGCAAATATGGCTTCACATCTGTTCTTTTAAAATTAACATTTTTTTCTATTTTTAAAAATATACTAAGTCTTTATGAACACGGGGATGTATCTATTATGTTTTCTTTATCAACATAATTATTGTTCACAGTGATAAGAACATAAATTGGATGACTCTGGTGAGCCTGGGCAGTACTGAAATGCTTTGCTGGCCTTACCTTAACTCGTATTATCTTATGTTAGGGCATCAGCATAACAGCCTGATGAACATTTGCCACTCTCTTTACTCAGTTTATGAATAAGATCACTGAAGATTACAGTGATTGAATCACTTGGCCAAGTTCACACAACTAGCAAATGGTCAACTTACAATCATGACCCTTTGGTAGTTAGCAGTATCCTTGGGATATAGCAGGTGATCTATAAATATTTATTAAAATGAAAAGGGATGAATTGAAATATATAACAAAGTTGAAAAGTACAGCACAAATAATTATGTTTCTGAATCCTATTACTTTATTTTTTCCAATATTAGAGTTTTTTTTTAATGGAGTTTGTTATCTGTGATAAATTATAGTTTGAGTTTAAGATTCGCGTGTGTGTGTGGTATGAAATTACGTTAAATCTTAAAAGTTGTCTAGGTACTAGTCTCCTAATATGTCTCATATTTTGTTTTCGTTTATTTACTTAATTAGAATATATCAAGTACCTACTATGAAACAGGTATTCCTTTGGGCACTGGGATTACTGAGGTGATCAAAAAAGTGCAACTTTAACAAAACATGTTGAGATTGTCTCTAAGTGTCAAAATCACCACAATCACAAACAGCAACAAATTCCAGCTCCCTATAGCATCTGTTCTAGGTAGAAGTGACAGAAAAGCAAAATAAATAAAACATATAGAACGATATGTATTAAGTGTGAGGGAAAAAAAAGGAGGAAAGTGATGAGTGCAATTAGAATGGAAGTCAAGGATAGCAAATGTGTGTTTGTATTAGTATGTAACATGTATATATTGCATTTATATACAAATATATAATTTGTCACATATAATATCACATCAGATTATATCATTATATACTATATCATAATATTATATAGTATTAACATGTCATTTAAATATACTATTCTAAATATTTATATGAATACATTATATTATATATAAAATTTATTTATATATAATATATACATAAATATATTTAAATAAAAATATTTTAACTGAATTAGTATGTTTAACTATTTAAATAAATACATATACACAAAATTAACAGAGAAGGGCAAGTACAAATGTCCTGATATAGGGACGTGTGTGTTGTTTTTATGTTTCTAGAAATAGCAAGGATATCAGCGAGACCTGAATAGAGAATAAAGTAGAGCGTATCATGAGAAAAGTTCAGAGAAGTATCAGGAGGATGAGATGTTTTTAAATTTGTAACAGAATATATCAATCAGATAATTATTTTTAATTATTGCTCATATTATTTTATTTATTCTTGTTTTAATAGCTATTAACTTATTAAAAATTTAAGACTACTTTCAAATATATTAGTTTTATAAATTTTCCTCCTGTTCTCATTGAAGTGGATTTGAAGAAAAGCATGTTTTAGAGCCCAAATTGAGATTATTTCCAAATTTCAACATTTATTTTCAGTGAGACCTTGTGACAATTACTGAAAGTGCTTGAGCTTTGATTATAAATTAGAGAATTTCTGTGAGGACCAAACTAGACAACTGAAGTTTATAGCATTCATCAAGCCTTAGATAAATATCAATTGTCTTTTTTTCTAGTTTGTTCAGGCTGCTGTAAAAAAAAAAAATACTATTGTCTGGGTGTTTTATAAGAAATAGAATTTATTTCCCATAATTCTGAGGACCAAAAATTGAAGATCAAGGAGCAGGCACATCCAGTGTCTGGTGAGGACCCTGACCTTGTCTCGTAGTCGACCATCTTCTATTAGGCACATGGCAGAAGAATCTCTGGGATTTCTTTTGTAAGGATGCTAATCCCAGTCATGAGCATCCAAAGTCCTTACCTTCTAATAACATCACATTGGAGATTAGGTTTCCACATGTAAACTTTCAGTTCATTTCAGTTCAATTGCTCAGTCATGTCCAACTCTTTGTGACTTCATGGACTGTAGCACACCAGACTTCCCTGTCCATCACCAACTCCCGGGGCTTACTCAAATTCATGTCCATCGAGTAGGTGAGGCCATCCAACAATCTCATGCTCTGTTGTCCACTTCTCACCCCACCTTCAATCTTTCCCAGAATCAAGGTCTTTTCAAATGAGTCAGTTCTTCCCAACAGGTGGCCAAAGTATTGGAGTTTCAGCTTCAGTATCCATCCTTCTAATGAATATTCAGGACTGATTTCCTTTAGGATGGACTGGTTGGATCTCCTTGCAGTCCAAGTGACTTTCAAGAGTCTTCTCCAACACCATAGTTCAAAAGCATCAATTCTTCAGCACTCAGCTTTCTTTATAGTTCAACTCTGACATTCATACACGACTACTGAAAAAACCATAGCTTTGACCAGATGAAACTTTGTTTGTAAAGAAGTTACTGCTTTTTAGTATGCTGTCTAGGTTGGTCATAGCTTTTCTTCCAAGGAGCAAGAGTCTTTTAATTTCATAGCTGCAATCACCATCTGCAGGGATTTTGGAACCACAAAAATTAAATTCTTTCATTTAGTTTCCATTATTTCCCCATCTATTTGCCATGAAGTGATGGGACTGGATGCCATGATCTTAGTTTTCTGAATGTTGAGTTTTAAGCCAACATTTTCACTCTCCTCTTCCACTTTCATCAAGAGGCTCTTTAGTTCTTCGCTTCCTGCCATAAGCATGCTGTCATCTGCATATCTGAGATTATTGATATTTCTCCAAGAAATCTTTATTCCAGCTTGTGCTTCATCCAGCCTGACATTTCTCATGATGTACCCTGCATATAAGTTAAATAAGCAGGGTGACAATATACAGCCTTAATGTTCTCCTTTCCTGATTTGGAATCAGTCTGTTGTACCATGGCCAGTTCTAACTGTTGCTTCTTGACCTGCATATAGATTTCCCAGGAGGCATGTCAGGTGGTCTGGTATTTGCATCTCTTTAGGAATTTTCCTTAGTTTGTTGTGATCTACACAGTCAAAGGCTTTGGCGCAGTCAATAAAGCAGAAATATTTTTTTTTTTTCTGGAATTCTTGTGATTTTTCTATGATCCAATGGATGTTGGCAATTTAATCTTAGGTTCCTCTGCCTTTTCTAAAACCAGCTTGAACATCTGGAAGTTCATGGTTCAAGTGCTGTTGATGCCTGGCTTGGAGAATTTTGAGCATTTTTGCTAGTGTGTGAGATGAGTGCAATTGTGCAATTGTTTGAACATTCTTTGGCATTGCCTTTCTTTGGGACTGGAATGAAAAGTGACCTTTTCCAGTCCTGTGGCCACTCCTGAGTTTTCCAAATTTGCTGCCATATTGAGTGCAGCACTTGCACTGCATCATATTTTAGGATTAAAATAGCTCAATTGGAATTCCATCACCTTCACTAGTTCTGTTTATAGTGATGCTTCCTAAGGCCCACTTCGTACTCCAGGATGTCTGGCTCGAGGTGAGTGATTACATCATCATGGCTATCTGAGTCATGAATATCTTTTTTTTTTTTTTTTCGGTTTTTTTTTTTTTTTTCATTTATTTTTATTAGTTGGAGGCTAATACTTCACAACATTGCAGTGGGTTTTGTCATACATTGATATGAATCAGCCATGGAGTTACATGTATTCCCCATCCTGATCCCCCCCTCCAACCTCCCTCTCCACCCGATTCCTCTGGGTCTTCCCAGTGCGGGCCCGAGCACTTGTCTCATGCATCCCACCTGGGCTGGTGATCTGTTTCACTATAAATAATATACATGCTGTTCTCTCAAAACATCACACCCTCGCCTTCTCCCACAGAGTCCAAAAGTCTGTTCTGTACATCTGTGTCTCTTTTTCTGTTTTGCATATAGGGTTATCATTACCATCTTTCTAAATTCCATATATATGTGTTAGTATGCTGTAATGTTCTTTATCTTTCTGGCTTACTTCACTCTGTATAATGGGCTCCAGTTTCATCCATCTCATTAGAACTGATTCAAATGAATTCTTTTTAATGGCTGAGTAATATTCCATGGTGTATATATACCACAGCTTCCTTATCCATTCATCTGCTGATGGGCATTTAGGTTGCTTCCATGTCCTGGCTATTATAAACAGTGCTGCAATGAACATTGGGGGTGCACGTGTCTCTTTCAGATCTGGTTTCCTCGGTGTGTATGCCCAGAAGTGGGATTGCTGGGTCATATGGCAGTTCTATTTCCAGTTTTTTAAGAAATCTCCACACTGTTCTCCATAGTGGCTGTACTAGTTTGCATTCCCACCAACAGTGTAAGAGGGTTCCCTTTTCTCCACACCCTCTCCAGCATTTATTGCTTGTAGACTTTTGGATAGCAGCCATCCTGACTGGCGTGTAATGGTACCTCATTGTGGTTTTGATTTGCATTTATCTGATAATGAGTGATGTTGAGCATCTTTTCATGTGTTTGTTAGCCATCTGTATGTCTTCTTTGGAGAAATGTCTGTTTAGTTCTTTGGCCCATTTTTTGATTGGGTCATTTATTTTTCTGGAATTGAGCTGCAGGAGTTGCTTGTATATTTTT